GGTGTGCATAATTATTAGGCAACTTCCTTTCCTTTGGCAAAATGGGTCAAAAGAAGGACTTGACAGGCTCAGAAAAGTCAAAAATAGTGAGATATCTTGCAGAGGGATGCAGCACTCTTAAAATTGCAAAGCTTCTGAAGCGTGATCATCGAACAATCAAGCGTTTCATTCAAAATAGTCAACAGGGTCGCAAGAAGCGTGTGGAAAAACCAAGGCGCAAAATAACTGCCCATGAACTGAGAAAAGTCAAGCGTGCAGCTGCCACGATGCCACTTGCCACCAGTTTGGCCATATTTCAGAGCTGCAACATCACTGGAGTGCCCAAAAGCACAAGGTGTGCAATACTCAGAGACATGGCCAAGGTAAGAAAGGCTGAAAGACGACCACCACTGAACAAGACACACAAGCTGAAACGTCAAGACTGGGCCAAGAAATATCTCAAGACTGATTTTTCTAAGGTTTTATGGACTGATGAAATGAGAGTGAGTCTTGATGGGCCAGATGGATGGGCCCGTGGCTGGATTGGTAAAGGGCAGAGAGCTCCAGTCCGACTCAGACGCCAGCAAGGTGGAGGTGGAGTACTGGTTTGGGCTGGTATCATCAAAGATGAGCTTGTGGGGCCTTTTCGGGTTGAGGATGGAGTCAAGCTCAACTCCCAGTCCTACTGCCAGTTCCTGGAAGACACCTTCTTCAAGCAGTGGTACAGGAAGAAGTCTGCATCCTTCAAGAAAAACATGATTTTCATGCAGGACAATGCTCCATCACACGCGTCCAAGTACTCCACAGCGTGGCTGGCAAGAAAGGGTATAAAAGAAGAAAATCTAATGACATGGCCTCCTTGTTCACCTGATCTGAACCCCATTGAGAACCTGTGGTCCATCATCAAATGTGAGATTTACAAGGAGGGAAAACAGTACACCTCTCTGAACAGTGTCTGGGAGGCTGTGGTTGCTGCTGCACGCAATGTTGATGGTGAACAGATCAAAACATTGACAGAATCCATGGATGGCAGGCTTTTGAGTGTCCTTGCAAAGAAAGGTGGCTATATTGGTCACTGATTTGTTTTTGTTTTGTTTTTGAATGTCAGAAATGTATATTTGTGAATGTTGAGATGTTATATTGGTTTCACTGGTAATAATAAATAATTGAAATGGGTATATATTTGTTTTTTGTTAAGTTGCCTAATAATTATGCACAGTAATAGTCACCTGCACACACAGATATCCCCCTAACATAGCTATAACTAAAAACAAACTAAAAACTACTTCCAAAAATATTCAGCTTTGATATTAATGAGTTTTTTGGGTTCATTGAGAACATGGTTGTTGTTCAATAATAAAATTAATCCTCAAAAATACAACTTGCCTAATAATTCTGCACTCCCTGTATAGGTGTGTGTATATGTGTATATATATATATATATATATATATATATATATATATATATATATATATATATATATATATATATATATATAGTATATACTTATGTATATAGATATATATATTATTTCGTTGTGTATTTTGATATCAATATATATTAATTTTAAAATACAGTTAGAACGAAATTACACATATATATATATATATATTTTTTTTTTTTTTACCGTATTTACATATTTAATTTATATCATTTATAAATATATATATATATAATGATAATTATATATATATATTTAATCAATATCATTGTACGTGTACTTTGATATTAATATATATATTAATATTAAAATACACTTAGACAGTGTATGTGTATATATATATATATGATCTAAGTTTATATAATTTAATTTTACACTGTTTGACCTCGCAATCACATGGCCCAGGGGGTGCGAAGAGAAAGGAGGGGAGCTCTCACGTGCCGTCCTTAAGGGGTTAAGGATCCAGTTTAAAAAATCCAAACTATATTGAATTAGGCAGCTCTTTGTATATCATTTAAATGGGACCTGTCATGCCCCCAAACAACGCATTAGGTTGAACATTCAATTCTATCTATACATTGTGCTAGCAGTTTCTCTAGCAAATATATAGATTAGGAGAAAAATAGGATTTTCCTTGGTATGTTGAGGCATATACTGACCATAGAGAGCAGAAAACAAAGTGCATGTGCTGAGGTTGCTAGGCTTAGGAGAGTAAAGGTCCTTCTCTTCTCCTAATCATAGCAACCATAAAGCATGCACTGTAAGTGCTGTGGAAACACCTTTGTTGGTGCTCCTAGCCCTGGCGAGGAGGTATAGGAATGGAGTGACATTACTGATGTTTGCGTCCCCAAGAAGGGCAAATCAAAAAAGAATTGAGACTGAGCGAAGGACGTGGGTGTTACACGGAGAGTAACACCCATGAAGAATGAAGATGGCCACCCTGGAACAGAGGCAGGTGAGTAAATCTCTGTATTTTACATTGATTACATAATGTGTCTTTGATATATATGTATTCAATGTATATGGGAGCAATTTCAGGTAAGTAAATTTTTCACAACAGGTTTACTTAAAGGAAAAAAAGGGTTATTTTGTTACTCCAAGTGGTACAAAAGTTATAGGTATTAGAATATGGGAGCCAATATAAAAAAATGTGGCAGTAGACATTCTACATCTGGTAAAAAAAAATACAATCGCAATGAGTATTGATTATTAAGTAAGGATGATGAAATCTAACTCTATATCTGTTTCTCAGGTGTTGCGAACTTCACCCCAAGAGCAGATGCTGTTGCGCAGGAGGTCAGAGTTACCACAAGATATATATATTATTAAAGCTCTGGAGTCCCACAGGAGAGCAGAAGAATATCTAAGCAGCAGCCAGGAGGCTCTTTGACCATCATATTATCCAGGACTAAAATTCAGAATGTGATGTAACCTACAATCAGGAAGCAGTTAGGAGGCTCTCTAACTAACACCTAGCAAAAAGTGCACAAACCCTCAGTATAACTACAACTAACAGCCAGGAGGTGCTCTGACTCTCCTTACAACAAGGACTTATAGTCAGGAGGTGCACTTACCTTACACTGAGGACAGGAGACTCTCTAACCTGTACATCCTCGTTTCCTAGTCACTGGTGTGCAAAACATCACTGTAACAACAACTTCCAGACATAAGGAACTCTGAGTTTCCGTACAAGAAGGACTTCTTGCAAGGTGGTGTAGTAAGCCTCCCTGTAACCATTACTCAGACCCATACACCAGGGACAAAGAGTCGGGAGGTTCCTTGAACCTACAAACAAAATCTACTGCCATGGTCCACTCCGACCCTGCCTACAACCCAAACCTATTGCCATGGTCCATTCCTTTTTTCCTTCAATTTAAATTTACAGCCATGGGGCACTACTACCCCTGTCCAATCCTAGTCCGCACTACCTAGTGCACTGGTGCACTCCGACCCTTCTTACAGCCATAATTTGCAGCTAGAAGTCAGGAGGTTCCTTGACCTTCCTTAAAACCAAAACTTGCTGCCATGGTCCACTCTGATCCTGCCTGCAACTAAAACAAACAGCCATAGTGCACTCCAACATTCCCTACCACCAAAACAAACCCCCATGGTGCATTTCGACTCTCCCTACCACCAAAACATACAGCCATGGTGCATTTTGACCCTCCCTACCACCAAAACATACAGCAATTGTGCAGTCCTACCCTCCCAACCACCAAAACATGCAGCCATGGGTGAACTCCAACCCTCCCTACCACTTAAACATACCACTATGGTGCACTCCTACCCTCACTACCACCAAAACAAACCGCCATGGTGCATTTCGACCCCCACCCCCTCCACCACCACCACCAAAACATACAGCCATGGGGCATTTCGACCCTCCCTACCACCAAAACATACAGCCATGGGGCATTTCAACCCTCCCTACCACCAAAACATACAGCCATGGGTGAACTCCAACCCTCCCTACCACCTAAACATACAGCCATGGTGCACTCCTATCCTCCCTACCACCAAAACATGCACTCCGACCATCCTTATTCCCTACAGGCAACACAGAGATTTCTCTCACCTTTCCTACATCGATCAAATTAATTCAAAGTGAATTTCAAATTTAGGGCCAGGGCAGCCATGCTGGAAGCGAAACGGACTGTGATGTAGGCTCAAAACATTTCTTACATTCTTTATCAACCTATTCACAGACAGTGCAGAGTTATGTATAGATGTTTCAGGTACCCTCCATCAGCACTTATAACTGAATTAGTGCTCTAGTCACTGTCACCACGTAAGTTGCACTTTTAGATGACATTGGACAGATCATGGTGAAAATGGCTAACCACCACTCAAACAAACTGCACTTATCTGTGTCCATTAGTGAGAGACCAAACCCCTGCTTGATTCAAGAGAAAGGCATGGACCTCCATCCATTCAGAGGCCAATATCGTCACTCTGGAAAGAGGTGGCAAGGCAGAGGAAATGCATGGATCAAAGGCCCATTCCCCTCTAGTAATTGATGAGCTAATTGCTGCTAAGTAGGTCCCCTGCAATAAACATTTATGCATCTTGCGGGTATAGAGTTAATCGAATTAATTTTGCTGTGGAGGAATGTATCAAGCAAGCAACTTCAGAGGTTAAACCTTCTAGGCCTCCAGCCCCATCACCTAACAAAGCATTAAATGCAGTTATCTTGTAATGAAGTGTGATTTCTTTATTAAAATTATAGTTGAAAGTTGTGAGGACAACATGTTTGAGTTTATTTTCCACAATCTGATCTTACTTATTTCACAGGTGTGATCTGCTCTAAGCATAGTGAAGGTGATAGAAAGTAAATGCTTATTTTGCCCAACTTTTAAAACTGGATCATTTTAACAAGTCGATTTGGGTTAGCCCCTGATATTTCATGGGGTCCAAAGTGTTTGAACTGCTCACTTTAACAGGTTAATCATAATGGCTATGTCTCTGCGCTTATCTTGTGAGTGCAATTGTAATACATTTTTTGTGTTATACTTTACATCTGCACTGTTTGGCTTTTCTACTTCTTTCAAGTGTAAGAAGATTATCAACATTTTGGAGACATTTCATTCCATATACCTCATTTAAGGATGATGAGTCTGATATTTATCCTCCTGTGAGTTCTCCTTATTATATTGCATGTCTATCCCAGTGTTAGTTGATCACACTATGTTCAGTCTGTGTTTCCACTAGATATTCCAGACTACGATTCCTGCTCTCTTATTATTGTATTATCCTTTGCATTATTTTTTCTTGGGAGATGTCACTCCTAGTTATTGAAAATCATACTCATTTGTATATTTCACTATTTTTTGTGGTGTTTAGAGGACTATTCAGTAGATTTTGACATTTTGCATTTAGTTGTTATATTTTGTAGGTTTTCTCACTGCAAGATATCAAACCATTTTATATGGTTGATAGATCACCACTGGGCAGAGTCTGGGGGCACTTGGCACAATAATCATTACCAATTGTGTCCAAAAAAAATGGATAACAGTTATTTTACTTACCGTAAATTCATTTTTTCTTAGTATAGTGGCAGTACTGACAAGTGGGATGTCCCTTCTATAGTGGACAAGAAGCTACCCCTTATTTTTGAAGATACCTGTATGCCCCACCTGCTGCCCCTATAAATCCTGTACCTTAGAGGAGAACTCCAGTTATACAAAAGAACCAAACGGAGACTGAATACTGCAAAAGTTATTTAATCCATACAAAAAGAGGAGGGAAAGGCAGTACTGCCACTATATTAAGAAAAAAAGGAATTTACAGTAAGTAAAATTACTGTTTTTCCTCATGTATAGTGGCAGTACTGACAAGTGGGATATAGCAAGATCCCTGCAAAAAAACATAGGGTGGGAACTTAGAAGGCCACTGCCTGGAGCACCTTACGCCCAAAAGCTGCTTCAAAGGATGAGAATATGTCCAGCCTATAATGCTTAATAAAGGTATGAAAGGAAGACCAAGTAGCTGCCTTGCAGATGTCTTCAGGTGAAGCCGCCGATCTTTCAGCCCAGGAATAGCCATAGCCCTTGTGGAATGAGTCTTCAATGGAAATCCAATTGAAACACCTCGGGTCTCATAAGCCAGTTTTATGGTTTCCGTCAGCCACCTGGAGATAGTAGGTCTGGAAGCCTTACTTCCCTTACCAGAGCCCTGAAAAGTGACAAAGAGATGATCAGAGGTCCTGAAGCACTAACATCTAGGAGATGCCACTTTCTTTCAAGATCCGACAAAGGAGATTGGCAGAAGGAAGGCAGGATAATAGGTTGGCTAATGGATTGCCGTGAAATAACCTTTCACGGCAATCCATTTTTAACCCCTTCAGCGCCAAGGAGGGTAGGGGCACTTTTCGGGCACTATAGTATCAGGAAAACCGTTTTGTTTTCCTGACATTATAGTGATCCTTTAATCATTAATACCCGTTTTTACTAGCTGTCCAAGCGGTATTCAGCAAATCTTTACTGCACTCACTCTGTTAAAGGGACAACACAAGCTACATTTGATCCCTTTTCAGATTTTAGTGGTGTTACAAGAAAGGCTCAGGCACTGAATTTGTAGAACGACCATCCTCTATGCCTAAGGTGAGCAAGAGTGCACCCCAGGGCAAAGAGGACAAGGTGAGGCCTGATAGAAAGCAGTTGTTGTTGGGGGATTCTATCTTAAGAGGAGTAGAGTTGAACAATAGTGGCTTTGTCAGGGGCGTATTAGCCGCGAGGCAAACAAGGCATTTTTCTTGGGCGGCATTTTCCAGGGGGCGGCAAAAAACGCTGCCCCCCAAATGCCCATGGCAAATGTCTTATTAGCCTCGCGGCTAACAGGCATGCTGGGCGCTGGGCGGGCGTGATGGCGAGGGAGCTCTTCCCCTGAGCGGTCTGCTCAGCTCCCTCGCGCGCTGCAGAGTGAGGCTGGGAGCCGGAATATGACGTCATCTTCCGGCTCCCAGCCTCACTCTGCCGGGCGAGAGGGAGCTGAGCAGACCGCTCAGGGGAAGAGCTCTCTCGCCAGCCGCCCGCCCAGCCCGACAACCACCGGACCACCAGGGAGGTAATGAACCCCTCCCCCCCAGCACTCCCAAAGGTAAGGAGGTTGGGGGGGGGGTGAATAAAAAAAAATGTGTTAATGTGAGTGAGTGAGTGTGTGTCTGTTAATGTGTGTGTGTGTGTCTGCTAGTGAGTGAGTGTGTCTGATTGTGTGTGTCTGTTATTGTGTATGTGTGTGTGTTTGCCTGTGAGTGTGTGTCTGTTAGTGTGTGTGTGTGTGAATAAAAAAAGTGTTAATGTGAGTGAGTGTGTGTCTGTTAATGTGTGTGTGTGTGTGTTTTGTTAGTGTGTGTGTGTGTGTGTGTGTCTGACTGTGTGTGTGTCTGACTGTTTGCCAGTGAGTGTTTGCCTGTGAGTGTGTGTGTGTGTGTGTGTGTGTGTCTGTTAGTTTGTGTGTGTTTGCCTGTGAGTGTGTGTCTGTTAATGTGTGTGAGTTTGTGTGTGTGTCTGCTAGTGTATCTGTGTGTCTCTGACTGTGTGAGTGTGTGTGTCTGCTAGTGAGTGAGTGTGTGTCTGTTAGTGTGTCTGACTGTGTGTGTCTGTTAGTGTGTATGTGTGTGTCTGACTGTGTCAGTGAGTGTGTGTTTGCCTGTGAGTGTGTGTCTGTTAGTGTGTGTGTGTGTGTGTGTGTGTGAATAAAAAAAATGTGTTAATGTGAGTGAGTGTGTCTGACTGTGTGTGTGTGTTTGCCTGTGAGTGTGTGTGTGTGTGAGTTTGTGTGTCTGCTAGTGAGTGTGTATCTGTTAGTGTGTGTGTCTGACTGTGTTTGTCTGTTAGTGTGTGTGTGTGTGTGTGTGTCTGCTAGTGAGTGTGTGTCTTAGTGTGAGTGTGTGTCAGTGAGTGTGTGTGTCTGTTAGTGAGTGTGTCTGTTAGTGTGTGTGTGTTTCTGTTAGCGAGTGTATGCGTATCTGTCAGTGAATGTGCGTGTGTGTGTATTTAGAAGAACACTCAGCATGACAGGTGGATGCGCATTAGGGACTTTAACTTGTGGCTTGGTGAATGGTGTCGGGAGCAAGGATTTGGCTTTATTTCTCATGGTAGCTCTGTTTGGAATAGAAATGAACTGTATAAAAAAGATGGTTTGCATCTTTCTCAAAAGGGAACAAATGTTCTCAGCGAGCAGTTGAGAGGTTTTGCTAGGAAGTATTTAAACTAGGAGGGGGGACAAAAGGGTTATAAAACATTAATCTAATTGCCCCCCAAAACAGAAAGTATCTGTAAAAAGTGTGTTAAAAAAATGATAAGCTTAGAGTCATGTCTACTCTGCTTTCGTATCGTTGGTGGGTGAGTGGGATGCTCCCTCGCGCCCACACACTCAAACAAGTTGTTTTAGAGACAATCCCACTAGGGAGTTTAGAATATGTATGCACAAGCAGCTGTTTTGGATTTCCAGTTAACATCAGGAAGATTAAAGTCACCAATGATGATAACTTCCCCCTTCGTTGTCATTTTAGCTATTTCCTCTAACTCTTCTATTTGTCCAGGGGGCCTGTAAATCACACCTACACGAGTTACTGTGTGATTACCAAATTGTAACGTAACCCAAACGGACTCTATGTTCGCCTCACTATTTTTTATTAGGCTAGATTTTATGCTTTCTTTCATATACAGGAACACCCCTTCCTCTTTCTTGCCTTCTCTGTCTTTTCTATATAAAGAGTACCCTGGTATTGCTATATCCCAGTAATTTTTCTCATTATACCATGTCTCAGTAACAGCCACTAAATCTACATTCTCAGTTGCCATTATTGTCACAAGTTCATGGATCTTATTCCCTAAACTGTGAGCATTTGTAGACATGACACTAAGCTTATCATTTTTTTAATACACTCGTTACAGTTACTTTCTGTTTTTGTTTTAGGGGGCAATTGGATTGTTTTATCACGCTTTTGCCACCCCCTCCTAGTTTAAATACTTCCTAGCAAAACCTCTGATCTGCTCGCTGAGAACATCTGTTCCCTTTTGAGAAAGATGCAATCTTTTTTGTATAGTTTATTTCCATTCCAAACAGAGCTACCATGAGAAATAAAGCCAAATCCTTGCTCCCGACACCATTCACCAAGCCACAAGTTAAAGTCCCTAATGCGCATCTGTAACAAAGAGGACAGCATAACCTGCATAGGGAGACTGTGGATTACTATTCAGTTCGGGACATTGGAAGCATTCACCATACGAATGCTTGCTACCAAATAACAGGCCACCTTGATTCCTAATTATGACCCATTTACCTCCTTGCTCTATGGGGATTTTCGTACAAAGAAACGCACAAACGCTATACGAACTGTATGGGTGGCCGCCATTTCGGGACTTCCACGTGTTCGCGGCCATTATAACTCCTGAACAGCTGTGTTTTGCCGTCGAGTGTCTGGAACTAAAAACGGTCACTCGAATAGGTGAACACCGCTGAGACCTCCATAACTTCGGAAAATCATTCTACAACTACCGAACGACAGGGCGTTCGGTAGAAAGACTTAAGACTTATGGGGATTGCAGTGAACGTGAGATTATATACGGATGGCCAGCCGTTCTGGACTTTTTACGCACGAACTAAGACCGACTGCAGGGCCAGGATTCATGGAACTGTTTTCGGCTATTTTGCCCGTGCGGTCGGTCAAAACTTTCAAGCCCCATATCTCCCGAACGGCTGAACCGAATGGGCTGAATTTTGGATATATTTTGGAATTCTGGATTTATTGGTCCCCCGGAAGTATTTGGGGTACATCCAAACTTTGGGGAAAAATATGTTCATTTTAATTGTTATGTGGTTATCTAAGGGGAGGAGATGTAGGGAATGTATATTGTGTTTATTGGTTGTACTGTTAATTATGTGGGTGTCTCCCTTGCATGGGCAGAATCACATAAAAGAGGGTCTGTCATTAAAGCTTTAGTTCTTCTTGACCCTTCAAAACGTAGCCTTGTCTCGTTCTTGAAAGGGGAATTTTGCAGCATAATCACTAAGCTCTTTTCAGAGTTGTTCCTGACTTCTAACTTGGATCCAGCAGAGGGGAATAAGCAGCTCCATCACTATACAGCGACTTGCCGGGAAGAAAAGGATGTCCCCAATGGCTGATACCCTCACTATAGCTGGGTAGCCGTTACAGCATCCACCTGTCATCCTGAGTGTTCTGCACAGGCAGAACTTCAGAGAATGACAATGTGGAAGCAACCTGCCGTATATCATTGGCAAGAACACAAAATCCTTCCTTTACCTCAGAAACCTCATTACATGTGAAAATCGTTGCCCTAAGATGGACAAGTACATCTAATTCCCCTTCCTGCTTTGCTTTCTTAACAATACTACAAATATGTCTCCTGTCCCTGTGAGCAGTAGTTCCAGGAAGACATCTCACAAAGCCACTATTGTTCAACTCTACACCTCTTAAGATAGAAAGCAGTTGTTGTTGGGGGATTCTATCAGGCCTCACCTTGTCCTCTTTGTCCTGGGGTGCACTCTTGCTCACCTTAGGCATAGAGGATGGTGGTTCTACAAACTCTGTGCCTGAGCCTTTCTCCGTAACACCACTAAAATCTGAAAGTGCAGAAAATGAATTATGTAAAGACGCACACTGTGCAGTATTCCTTTTTCTCCACATCTCTAAGTCTACCAGATCCTACAGTAATCCATTTGCCATTCTTAGGACATCTCTGAGGCAGTGGATTTGCAACAGTCCCAGCCTGAGATTTTTTAACAGATAATTTACAAATCTCCGACTTCAAAAATGCAATCTCCTGCTGCAATATAGAGAACTGTCTACATATTAGACAACAACCAAAGCTCCAAAAAGTGGAACGTGAAACAAATGCATAGCAACTATTACACTGAACTAAGTTTGCCATTTTAATGAGATGAGTTTAAATCAAACAAATCTTACTTTTTGTTTCTCTTTTTTTTCACCTTCTCTGTACTTCAGGCTACCTCCAGTTTATCTCCAGCAGCACTTAGAAGCAGCTGCCAAGCTGTCTTAGCCAACCTAATATCTACAACCCTTATATGCACTCCTGAAGGATGTAACACCTGCTTGGGCCTGTGCTTATTTGCAAAAAAATAGCAAACACCTAACTAACTAATTCAAATGCCTTGCCAATTATCAACAGGAAAGCAAACCTTGTTAAATCTAAAACCTTTTTCTTAGATGACTCTTATTGGGCAGACTAGATGGGCCGAATGGTTCTTATCTGCCGTCACATTCTATGTTTCTCTTGCCTGTAAAGGTAAAAAGAAAAACCTTAGACAGTTGAAGAATCAAATAAAACTCTCCAGAATATCTCCAAATACACTTTGTAGCAGCACTTCGATGCAGCTGCCAAGCTCTTGATGGAGAGCACTCACAGGACTTGATATGTTTCAATAAAGTGCTTTTTAGTTCAGCAACAGACAATACCATCCAAAGTGTCCGTGTCAATGTTTCAGTCCAACCGGACCTTTATCAAGACAAAATAAACAGTGATGCATGAATCATTTAAATATGCAACGCTCAAGTGTTCATTGGAGGGTGGGAAAGGTGAAAATGAGATTCAGTGATGTCATCAATGACGTGTCTCTTCAAAAAAGCCATCAATTTAATTACTCCAATACTCCACAAGAGTTGGTAATTAAGTATAGCAACGAGAGAAATTAAATATAAAGAAAAAAAAAAATATATATATATATATACTATATATATATATATATATATATATATATATATAAATACATCTATTTACACAATATAGGGATGGTTGTAGGGATATTGTTAGGACACTCTCGAAAGAGAATATTATACGTAGTGACTAAAAAGGAAGATTTCAATGTTATATTAAATAACATCAGTAATTCCTGAGTGCCTACCAACAAATATACCCATAACAATCTATGAGTCTAACTCCCAACACCGAGAACTCATCCCACTGTGTGCCGGTTAGTAGTAAGGAATTCGTAAATACGAAAAGTGAAGTACCAAATGATCACAGTGCCACTCTGATATATAATAGCTTACTTCGGATAAATACTGGTTACATTTGTAACAGAACTTACAGCAACTGTCCATAATCACTATCCACACTGTGTCAATAATATCCTGCATAGATCTATTTTTTCATACACAGGAGGTTGCTACCATTTCAGATGAAATTCCTAATTGAGAGGACATAGAATGTGACGGCAGATAAGAACTATTCGGCCCATCTAGTCTGCCCAATTTTCTAAATACTTTCATTAGTCCCTGGCCTTATCTTATAGTTAGGATAGCCTTATGCCTATCCCACGCATGCTTAAACTCCTTTACTGTGTTAACCTCTACCACTTAAGCTGGAAGGCTATTCCATGCATCCACTACCCTCTCAGTAAAGTAATATTTCCTGATATTATTTTTAAACCTTTGTCCCTCTAATTTAAGACTATGTCCTCTTGTTGTGGTAGTTTTTCTTCTTTTAAATATAGTCTCCTCCCTTAGGTTCCCTTAGGAGCACTGTGTTGGTTCCCTTAGGAGCACTAAAGCAAATCATATTAGTTCAACAAATGTAATTACAAGGAAAGGAGATTAGTTATGACAATTGGTCAAGTAAGTTAATTAGATTCGTCATTATGAAAATTCATTAAGAAAATCAATTAAAGGGGGTGGGGCCTGACCAAACTAGCCAGATGTGAAAACCCTGTGCTCCTGCATCTATAATCAATAAAAGGGTATTACACCCGATTGGCTGGCTACCACGACCCACTATAAGTGTTCCTGAGAGCAAGGGACCCCAGGCAAGCTGTCTATTACCCCAAACGAGGACTGTAACGGATCACCTGGCACCCCGAGTGGGTACCTCCGTTGAAGGATGCTCCTAGCGCTTCCTGAGGACTCCAAGCACTCTGGCAGACACCACAATAACCGAACCGGAGAAACAAATAAATTCTCCCAAGCATATGAATGCTGTAGACAGTTGAATAGGAACCATACGAATAGGTTTACTCTCCTAGCAGTCAAACTGGAACAGCATACAATAAATCCTTCCCCCAATAATGAGACGACACTTCACTTTGAGGGTTAAAACAGGAACTCTCTGTACTGTCACATACAGTCTCTTTTATTCCCAATCCACAAACATAGTACAGCCCACAGGGCGTTACAAAACAACCAATCACATCACAGTTACATCCCACATATTCCCTCCCCTTATCCTGAGAGGAAACTCAATTATACATACAGTTAAAACATACTTTCTACCCAACTTTCATAACTCCAAAACCATACATCACATTCACATAAAATTACACATTCACAATCAATCCATTCAGGGGAACAACATATTAAAAAATGGCACAAATCAGACAAGGAGTTCAAAAGTTAGTAAAAAGTCCTTTGTGACTAAATGAAGCATGGCTTTCTGGCCCAAACCAGTTTCAGAGTCTTCTATCCTGGAGATAAGTAATTCAATTATCTCCCAGGACAGACACAAGACTCCATTAAGCACATGGTTGCAAAAAGACACAAAACACTTTAAAATACATAAAGTCACCTTTTATACATAAAACACAGACATTTCACATATCCCCAGATAGCTCAGGTCTGAGCGCACATTATTAAGTGAATGGCGCTCAGACCACACGAATACAGTTTAATCGCCATGGAGCCAAAGTCTTTACAGTCAGTTTCATACAAATGGGCTCCATGGGATTCCTATCTGGGGTATAACACATTCAAACACATCTACCGAACCCCAGGCAGAAAAGCACGAATACAGCTTTTCTGCAGGCAAAAATAAAGTCTTTTAAAAGGGGGCCATAGTCAAATGGCAGGAGGCTGGCAACCAGGCTTCTCCAGTGCACAGTGGCGAGGTTGGTTTCGCCACAAGGACTTATCCTGCTATCCGCCTGGGAGTCCTGTTGCGGCCTGCTGGGAACTGAGCGAGGGAGAAGTGGTTGATCTTCCCGCGGTCTGATCTTCCCATGCTCTGCACACCTACCCCCACACCCTCCCCCCTTTGGACCAGTGGGGGATATCCCGGTCCCCTCGGAGCTGATTAAGCAAACCTACTGATACTCACCAAGACATACAAGTTGCAGTGACCAGCTGCCTAAGATATGAAAATGGCGGACGCCCTTTATTTAGACTCACACACTGCAAGTTCTATCCAGGGGGATTCTCGCGACTTTGTTGTTGAAGCCTTGACTCGGCTCGACGAGATCTTCCAACAATTATTGCTTCAACTCCAGCATCGTATCGTGGCTGAGGAGAAGCGGGCAACCGGAGGTAAAGGGTGCATCGACCGTGAAGAAGCACGTGCATCTAAATGTCTGCCCACCCAGGCCGAGAGCCACATGGGGCTTGCAAGCCCTGCATCGGCCACAAAGACGGAAGATCAATCGTGAAAAGCGACTAAATCCTCCGACCACCCTAGGATAGGGACAGACTCGGACTCTTATGGCACCCGAGTTGGTGGTATACAGATGCCGGCTCTCACCCGGCCCTGGGGCAGGAGGGGCACCCGACCCCAGCATGAAGCCATCTCTGGCAGTAATGTAAATATGCCTCTTATGGGTATCTACTGAGGCTCAGCAGCACTCAGTTGTCACCAGCGTTATAATGAACACCGTGTTTCTAATTTAATTTGCTGGTTTCACCACCATTTTTCTTTCTTTTTACTGTGGTATGGCACCGAGCAGCCATGTTGTATGCCCAAGGTTATTTATCTATGACACCCAACATGTCTTATCATAGTACATTCATGCATACTGTAATTTTCATTTAGCGGCATATCTACTAGGCTTGGCTAACACACACGCTTGTATAGTGGGCTATTAGCCCTTTGTTAAATTTAAGTCAGAGCAGTGTGCGCCATCGCTACATCGATAATCGACTTGCCTAGCAGGCCATCAATGTCTTACGATTTTTACTTAGGATTCAGCTTGAGACATGGCAGCCCAACCTGTCTATATTATTTGTTGATTTTCGCTAATTAATTAATATGCATACCCTGTATCTCTCAACTAACATCACATGTCTAGATAACATTCTACCTGAACATTGCCACTTGCGAAACAGACTTGTAGGTGTAATTTTCTTACTCCACATATAATTTTCTTACTCCACATATAGAGTGTGCATGTATAGCCAAAATGTATTCCTGATGTTATCTTGTCCTATGTGTCTGATACCATGCCAATGTTTTAATATCTCTGTTTTTTAATAGCTTGCAACTACTGTTGTGGTATCGCAAGCTCGTCTGTTATAACGTGCACTACAAAAATAAAGAATTTTTAAAAATTAAAAAAAAGAAAATTAAGACCATTTATCAAGAGACTCAATCAAGAACATTACTTAAGAGGGAGCTGCCAATCCTACGATAAGTTAGGCAATGCTGAATACACACTATGATAGAACCAAACTGTGTATCTGTATTATCTTTTTAACAAGAAACAATGTAGTGGGTTCTTCTCATTAAGTCCATGGGGGGACAGAGTGTCAAGTGTATATATCCAGAACACCTCTCTTTGCAGCAGTCTATTGTCTCTGTTGCCACCTCTCATTGGTATGGGGACATGATCTTGGCAACACATTTGTCGTCCATCTTTAGAGCCAGCGCTCCAGCCACAGCCAGCCACAGGCCAGCAGCCAGCCATAACCCACAGGCCGCCAGCCACAGCCTACAGCCAGTCAGCCACAGCCCACAGGCCTACAGCCAGCCACAGGCCGCCAGCCAGCCAGCCCACAGGACTACAGACAGGCCACAGGCCTACAGCCAGCAAGCCCACAGCCTGGCAGCAAGCCACAGGCCTACAGCCAGCAAGCCTGCCAGGAAGCCACAGCCAGCAAGCCCACAGCCTGCCAGCCGTAGCCAGCAAACCACAGCCAGCCAGCATGCCCACAGCCTACCAGCAAACCCACAGCCTACCAGCAAGCCCACAGCCTGCCGGCCGAAGCCAGCAAGCCCAAAGCCTGCCAGCCGTAGCCAGCAAACTCACAGACTGCCAGCCAGCAACCGTAATTAAGGTATGAGGAGCCAACTTGGCCTAGGTATCAGAGAACTATGTTGTGTTGCAATATTATGAATAGGAACCAGAGTGTTGGAGAGACCCCCCTCCATTGTAGTCTCTAAAGGACACTGAGATGATCTCTGCTAGAAAGACCCCCCCACCATGGCTCATTAGCCCTTAATTGTAGTCTCTAGTGAGGCCTGGAGGGGACTGTTTCTAATAGAGGCTCTCTAATGGACGCTGAGATGGCCTCTGTTAGAAAGACCCCCTTCCAAGCCTATTAGACTCCATTGTAGTCTCTAATGGGGCCTTGAGGGGATTCTTTCTAACACACTCTCTAAGGGGCACTGAGAGGATCTCTGTTAGATATACCCCTCTCCAGGTCCCTATAGATCAGTCTACTTCACTTCCTGCTGTTTGACCATTTTTGTGGGATCGAGGAATTTCAGGGATAAGACTCTCCTTAGGGGAGCTTCTCTGTGCTTCAGTGCATTTATACACTTTTAAATATATTTTTCTATTACATTAGAGCAGGGCTCGACAAATCCCAGGTCGCCATGGTGACTAGAAATCTTGTCCTGGCAGCCCTTTAGCGAAGGCTGCTAGCCCGCGGCAACTGGCCACCTGCATGGGGTAGCATGAGAGGGGGCCGGCCACCTACCTGAGGTCGCGTGGGAGGCAACGCACCAGGGAGCAGTAATCCTCCTGCAGTTCCTCACTGCTCCCTTGCACTGTTTAGTGATGCCAGGAGTTGGAATATGACATCATTCTGGGCCTGGCATCACTACAGAAATTGTGCAAGGGAGCTCAGAGGAACTGCAGGAAGATTAGACAGCAGCCCCACTGGACCACAGGGAAAGATCCACTCAGATCTCCCAAAGCTATGGAGGCTGTGTGGACATAAATGAAAATTTAAATGTTAATGTGTGAGTTTATGAGAAACTGTGTGTGTGTGTGTGTGTGTGTGTGTGTGTCTGTCTGTCTTTGTGTCTGTTTAGGTACCTGCCCTCTCCGATCACATGGGATAGGTGTTTTTACTCACCTTTTTTCCCACGCTGTGCTGGTTTCGCTGTGGCTGGTCCTGCCCCTTTGACTGGTCCTTCCTCCATGGCTGATATCAGTTTTATGATCTCAGCTAAGTCAATGCTTTCCCACAGGCTTTAGATGGATATTGTGCATGTGCAGAAAAAGGCTGTGCTGCCCCAATCAGCATCTCCTCCTAGAGATACATTGCATCAATGCATCTCTATGGGGAACATTCAGCGCCTCCATACAGAAATTTGGAGTATAAAAATTGTAAATAAAAGTCCATTATTTACAATTCTTATACTCCAAATTTCTGGTTTTATATTTACTTTATATTTGGAATCAATAAATTTCTTTATCCATTGAAGTCCTTGGAGCCTCTGGGAATCTTTACAAGGAAGTGCCATCCCTTCATACTGGCACATCGCTGACCACCCTCAGAGCCAGGAATTTAAGGCTCTCAACTAGGTGAGCATAACATTTACCACCTATATATTATCTGCCTGTTTGCACATATACCACCCATTGGGTCCCTTTCTCCATTTGTTTCCTTGTCGTTGTGGAGGTACATCTCAGAGGAAGGGGTGTGTTGCTGCCCAAAGAGCACATAGGCTTACGTACGGAGCCAATATTATATAGGCTCCAGACCATGTGAGTGGTTTCAGTTTTTTATTTTCATCACTCATTTTCACCAAAACCATCTACACTACACCCTGTTCCAAATTATTATGCAAATCCTATTTGAGTGTCACAAAGATTAAATATTTTGTTATTCAGTTTAACTCATGGATGGCATTGTGTCTCAGGGCTCTTTTGATCACTGAAAACAATCTCTGACACCTGTGATAATTAGATTGCCAGGTGAGCCCAATTTAAGGAAAAACTACTAAAGGAGGGTGTTCCACATTATTAAACAGAGCACCATTTTCATGCAATATGGGGAACAAAAAGGCTCTCTCTTTTGATTAAGAGCACAGATGGGTTCATGCAGATAAAGGCACATTGAGGAAGATTTCTGCCAGATCCATGCATCGGATCAAGAGAGCAACTTCTAAAATACCATTACATAGCAGCAAACAGATATTTGAAGCTGCTGGTGCCTCTGGAGTCCCACGGACATCAAGGTGTAGAGTCCCCCAGAGTCTTGCAACTGTGCATAAACCTTCTATTCGGCCACCACTAACCAATGCTCACAAGCAGAAACGGCTGCATTGGGCAGAAAAATACATGAAGACTAATTTTCAAACAGTCCTGTTCACTGATGAGTGCCGTGCAACCCTGGATGGTCCAGATGGATGGAGTAGTGGATGGTTGGTGGATGGCCACCCTGTTCCAACAAGGCTGCGACGTCAGCAAGGCGGTGGTGGAGTCATGTTTTGGGCCGGAATCATGGGAAGAGAGCTGGTCGGCCCCTTTAGGGTCCCCGAAGGTGTAAAGATGACCTCTGCAAAGTATGTGGAGTTTCTGACTGACCACTTTCTTCCCTGGTACAGAAGGAAGAACTATGCTTTCCGTAATAAAATCATCTTCATGCATGACAATGCACCATCTCATGCTGCAAAGAATACCTCTGCATCAATGGCTGCTATGGGGATAAAAGGAGAGAAAGTCATGGTGTGGCCTCCATCCTCCCCTGACCTCAATCCTATTGAGAACCTTTGGATCATCTTCAAGCAAAAGATCTATGAGGGTGGGAGGCAGTTTACATCCAAACAACAGCTCTGGGAGGCTATTCTGACATCTTGCAAACAAATTCAAGCAGAAACTGTCCAAAAACTTACAATTTCAATGGATGCAAGACTTGTGATGCTGCTATCAAATAAGGGGTCCTACGTTAAAATGTGACGTGACCTGTTAAAATGTTTAAAAAGTTAAAATGTTGTTGTAAATTTGATTGAAATAGCTTTTGATTTCAGTAAATATGCTGCAAACACAGCAAATGGCAATTTTCAGTTCTTTAAACCTATAAAGTGTTTTGAAACTTACTGTGTGTAATAATTTGGAACAGTGCATTGTAAGTTTATGTTTAAAAAAAATACTGTTATCATTAGGAGGTTTGTTCAATAAAATTTGAATTGTACTCTTAATTGATAACATGAGAATTATGCTGAATGTTATTTACATCAATTATTTAGGTAAATGAGAAAAATATAATTTGCATAATAATTTGGAACAGGGTGTATATGTTTTTTATCTCTTTGTTCCCTTCCTTGTATGTTTAAAAGCATATTCCTGAATTTAAGACAACACAAAATTGTTGGGGTAAGTGAACCCCTCTATCACTTATAATTGTATTAGCGCTCCACTAGGTGGTGTATTTTACACTACATTTATATATATTAGTTTAAATCCATTCGTTAAAATCCATTTCGTTTAAAGCCATTCGTTTAATTCCATTAGTTTTAAATCCATTCGTTTAAATCTATTCGTTAATTAACAATTCGTTTAAATCACTTGTTTTAAGCTGTTCCTAAGTCTCTTACGCTCAGTGCATTTGGGTAATTCAAGCCATACGTTCGCATACTTTACCGTTCGAATGTCGGCTGAATAATATGCCTGATTAAATCTTAGAATACTGGAAGGCTGCCACTGTATTTTTGGTTGCTATTCGATTGGTAATTTTGCATAAACTCACGGTTCTCATGTTGGGTAAGTTCACAATTTATTACAGTTTGACTGTTCGGTCTAGCATTTCCTCCTAAATATTACTTAAATCTCACAGGCACGTCAGTTTGGTTCCTGCCCATATTTGTAGGTTAGTTCCATAGATCTAGCGAGCTCTACACATTTCTTTCCTCACTATCCCCATATACACGGTCTTATTTAATTAAGCACCAGTCTATCCGGGTTATTAAATTAATATAATAAACTCCATCTGCATGGTTAAAATGTGGCTCACTAGTTGTCTGGTTTCTGTCTCACGGGATACTATTTAAATAGTCAATCAGAATTGCTACTTAGTACGCCTGTTCGATAGCGTAAACACAAACTATATACTAGTATTTATATATGTATTTTCCTCAGCACGGTACTCAGTTTTTGTTCTTATATCATACGTGTATCTTAGGTGCATATATCAATGATTAGCAAATTTCCGGATAAAATCTAGGACAGCGTTGTTTCTTCTGGCAATCTTGTCTCAGGTATTTCCATTTACTTACGCTCATATCCAATCATAACCGTTACATCAAGGCCTTGTACTGCCTTCATGTTTACACGTCAAGCTCAGTTAAGGGGCTTGTCTAATTATATCCCACGTTTGGGAACCTCTATACAAAATCTTACAAATCTTCTGTTCTGCTATCTGTTTCCAGCTTTGGCAAGTAATACCTTTAACAAACGTAAGACACATAGAGTTACTCCAACACCTATCAGGTAAAAAAAAAAAAAATGAAATCTCCGTTATTACAATTATACATTACTGATTATTACACATATGCCCATTTTTCTTTAGGTGCACATAAGAGACTCCTGTCCCGTAAGAATTCTCTCTCTTAGGCCCGATTTAGGGTACGTTTATATATACATATAAACGTAGGGCCATTCGTTAATAATTGTTCCTTTTTCAGATAGGCATCTTTAAACCTACATCATCCCTCCAGCTTTTCTACTCAGTTTCTACCTCATCCTACTGTTAGGTATGTTTTAAGTTGGTTCCCATGAGGCCCCCACCTCATGCGGAGGTATCGCCCACACGGCCCCACGTTAGATTATTTGCCTCATATCCCCTTCTGCAGGGGATGGTTAGATTGTCACATGTCACAGGCAAATGTTTTCCTTTATACTGTCACTGAGAGGCCAGCATCCCACCACATCGTTCGGTGGCCACATTTCCCCAGGGGCCAAATCATAGGTAGAGCCTCTCTTCGCCACTTGGCAATTAGCAGGGATTCACCTATCACGGGTAGTTAAGCTCTTCGCCACCGGCACTAGCTAGCAAGCCAGTTCTATATATATGGTATTTCACCATTGGCTCTAAGTTTTGTATTTGCTAATCTCTTCATAGGATGTCACAAGAATCACTCCATGAAGATAACTTGTCTCTCCAGAGCTCTCCCTCCAGGCCCAGTACACCCATTAGACCTATCTCACCAGCTCTCTCTAAAAAGATTTTTTAACAGTCATATTATTACTCCTATCCATACTCCTTCACCAAACCTAAAACTAACAGACACGCAAGCTGCTATTAATACTTCTCCATCTGTTATAAATACAAATCTAAAACCAAAATCTAAATTTTATCCTCCCAATTTTTTTTTTTAATTCTTTATTTCATTTTCGATTATAAAATGGTTTGGGTGGGGGGTACAGAAGAGAAGAAGGGGATAGGGTAGGGGGATAGCATGTTACGATATACCCGTTACATTTAGTCTTTCTCGGAAGTTGTTCTGTGTCTGCAGGCACCCAGTCTCAGGGCAACCCCGTTGTGGCCGAAGCCCGCGTTAGGGGGGTCTCGAATTGACGACTGTCTGTGGAGGCCGTTGTTTTGGGGCGCGTATGTGGTTGGCGTTAGTGTAGCCGGGCCTTTGGCCCTCGTTATACGGGCTGGGCCCTCCCCAAGATGCTGGTCCCGTGCTGGGGTTCCGGGTTGCATGTAAACTCGCTGTTAGGCAGGGCTTCTTGGGTTTGTTGAGCGTGTCGTCAGGGAGAGCCCCTCCGCATTATCCCCTGTTGGGGGGGTGGATGGGAGCTCCCCGAGGCTGTGATTCTCGCTTGTCAATGTAGTTGTGCGTCTGTTGCTCTATGAGTTAGTGTCCTATTGTACGTGTGACTTCACATGCCAGAGTGGTGGGGAGAGGGCCGGGATGAAGGGTGGAAGGGGGTGGGGTCAACAGGGTTGTGTTTAGATTTGTCGGTGGGTGTGATACGGGTATGGCCCCCCTATCTGTGCCGGCTTTGTCCTGCTTTGGTTGCCCTCATTATCGCCTGATGTTCCGGCCATAGCCGCGGGTAGCCTTACTTTGGGGGAAGCCCTCCCCGGGGCGCTCTCGCGTGGGCGTGCACTGAGGTGGGTGAGTTTGTTCCCCCATCCTTCATTGTTCTATCTCGTTACACCGTATTCTAAGCACCCGTGGAGGGACCCGAGTGGATTTTGTATGGTCGGGTGTCCCGCCCCATGTCCGAGCGCCCGCTCCGGCCGAGTCCCAGGATCTTATAGGGGAAGGGGGCCCGAGGTAGATTGGCTTTGTTGCTGAGAGGGGGGGTGGTTGGGGGGGTGGATTATGACTTCTGGGGACTGAGCAGTGTGAGGTTGTACTGGATTGACCCCTGTCAGGGGCTTGTATGCGGGTAGTTCCCAATGCTGCGTGTCTATCTTGACAGCTTTTGGGTTGCCACCTGAGATCAGGGTTCGCCTCCCCGCGGGCCAAGGTAGGGAGCACCTTTCCGGGCTTCGGCCCCGTGGGTCTAGTCAGGTCCGAGGGCGTTTCTACAGGATCGTCGCGACCAGTCTCTGGTAGCTGGTGTCCCACAAACTCCATGTCCGGTGAAATGCCGTGTACGAGTCGTGCATCTGCGCTGTTAGTTCGTCTAAGTCTCATGTTTCTTTTATTTTGCGGATGATGGTCGAGATCTCGGGGGTCTGTGGGTCTGCCCAAAGTTCCGCAATTGCCCTACGTGCCGCTAAGGTTATGCGGGCCACCAGTTTATTCTCTTGTTTCGTGAGCGTGTCCAGGGGTTTATTGAGAAGCATGGTCCAAGGCTGTGCTGTTATGGGTTGTTCCACCACCCGTTCGATCAGGCTCCATACCTCAGTCCAGATCTGCTTAATTTTAGGACACGTCCACCAACAGTGGAGGTATGTGCCCTTCCCTCCGCATAGCTTCCAGCAATCATCAGAGGCTTTCCTGCCCATTTGGTGTAGCCTGTGTGGTGTCAAGTACCATCGAAAAAGTGTCTTATAGGCTTGCTCTTTATGCGTTACGCATGTCGTAAGGGAGTTTGTGGCGGCCCATATCTTGGACCAGTCGGCCGAGTCCTCTGGAGTGCCAATGTCTCTCTCCCACGCTGTGATATAAGTAAGGTTCACTTGTGAAACGTGCATGGTGAGCGTTGTGTATATGTCTGAAATCTGTCCGCGGCGGAGCGGTGCATCGAAGCACGGTTTTTCGAACGTTGTTGGTGGAGATATCCCCACCTGTTTGATCATTGGCTGTTGTGCAAAATCTCGCAGTTGGATGTAGCGGAAGAAGTCTCCTGTGGTTAGGGCATCTGCATTGGGTACTTCAGAGAATTTGACTATGTCCCCCTGTCGGTAGAGATGTAGGAGTCTAGAGATGTCTCTCTGGTCAAATGCTGCGAAGTGTTTTGCTATCATACCCGGTGGGAGCAATTTATTCCGGTATACCGGTGTCACCGGAGAGAGGAAGGAGGAAAGGTCATACTTAGAGTTGTGTTTATCCCAAAGGGCAATAGCGTGCGTGATTGCTGGAGAGGTAGGAGGTGGAAGGGGTCTGTATTTCTGTGGTACACACATGTAGGATGATGGGAGGTCCCAACCCATGACATCATGTTCCAGGTCCACCCATCGTTTGGTACCTGGTGGCAAGTGCCATTGCTGGATGTGGGCTAATTGTGCTGCGAGGTAATATTGCAACAGGTTAGGGAGCCCCAATCCTCCCGTGAGCCTGGGGACATACATTGTTGTTCTACGGATTCTGGGTCTCCGGGACCTCCAGACGAATCTGTCTATGGCCGTCTGTAGGCGCTTGAAATCTTGTCGCTGTGGTGGGATTGGCAATGTTTGGAAGAGGTAGAGGAACCTCGGTAGGAGGTTCATTTTGATTGTGGCGACTCTACCCAACCAAGATACGCCCAGCTTATCCCATCTTTGTAGGTCTTGATGTGCCGTCCTTAGTAATGGCTTGTAGTTGATGTCGTAGAAGGCTCCCAGATTCGTAGTTAATTTGATGCCCAAGTATGTAAGAGAGGTGGTGGTGATGCGGAATGGGAATATCCGTTTCAGAGGGGCAATTTGGGCTTGAGTCATAGGTATCGGCATCGCGATGGATTTTGACAGGTTGATTTTGTATCCTGAGAGGGTGGAATATTCTGCTATTAAGGCAACCGTTGCCTGGAGAGAATGCATGGGATCCATCAGTGTGAGAAGTACATCGTCCGCGTATGCCGCTGCCGTGTACGACTCCCTTACGTATTTGGACTCCCTGGATACCCGGGTGTAGTCGGATGGCCTGTAGGAGCGGTTCCAATGAGATTGCGAACAGGAGGGGGGAAAGGGGACAGCCCTGTCTAGTCCCGTTCGCGATGGTGAACGTCTGTGCTACGGTGTTTGGTAGTAGGAGTCGCCCAGTGGGGTGGTCGTAAATTGTAGTGAGCATGTTTAGGAACCCGTCCGAGAATCCCTGGTGCCTCAGCACGCTGAACAGGTAGGGCCAGAGAAGGCGGTCGAAAGCCTTCTCTGCGTCCAATGAGAGCGCCACCGTCGGGATGTTCCGATGTTGGGCGTACCAGATAGTATTGTAGACCCTCCTCGTGTTATCGGCCGCTTGTCTCTTGGGAATGAAACCAACCTGGTCAGGGTGAATCAAATTAGGCAGGAAGGCAGGAAGGCTTTGAGGCGAATGGCTAGCACTTTCGTGATGATTTTCAAATCAGTATTGAGGAGCGAAATTGGGCGATAGTGTCCCGGTTCCAGAAGTTCCTTTCCTGGTTTGGGCAGGAGGCACACGTCGGCAGCCAGCATGTATGGGGGGAGCGATTGTCCCTGTAGGAGCGAGTTAAACATGTTGCATAAATGCGGAATGAGCGTCTCTTGGAATGTTTTGTAGTATAGAGTTGTGAATCCTTCCGGTCCCGGACTCTATAGGGGTTTGAGAGTCTTGAGAATAAACACGAGTTCCCTAGCGTCGATAGGAGCCTCAAGTACCTCTTTGGCCCTCGAAGAAAGGGCTGGCATGCTGAAGGGTTCCAGAAACCCCGTGATGGCATCCTGCTGTTCCGTCCGGTTCGTTTGAGGGAGTGGGTCGTGGTTGTATAGGTTGGTATAGTAGTGCAAGAATTCCGCAGCTATTTGTTCTGGATCGTGAGTAATTTCTCCAGTGCGGTTCCGTATTTTCGAAATCCTCTTGGCTTCTTGGCGGCGTTTCCTTAGACAATGTGCAAGGAGGGAGTCAGCTTTGTTGCCTTTCTCATAGAACCTCTGTTTCGTCCACATAAGGTGCTTGGCCACATCGGTGTTCGTCAGTTGCGCAATCCTTTCCCGTATGGCTGTAATTTGGGTTAGGAGTTGGTCTGATTGGGCCTGCTTGTGGCACGATTCTAGCTTCGCCAGGTCCGCCAGCGCTGTGGTTAGATTTTTTAGGCGCTGTGGCTTTTGTCCCGAGGCTATTGCTATAAGTTTCCCACGGATCACGGCCTTATGGGCTGCCCACACCGTCACCGGGGCCATACTGAGTTCAAAGTATGTTTTGATTTCCTCCTTCACGATGTGGATGGTGGCCTTGTCTCTGAGAATCCCCGGATTGAGGCGCCACCTCCATTCACGTGACAGGCGAGGGATGCGGATGGTTAAAGCTATCTCGTCATGGTCTGACCATACAATATTGCCGATGATCGTCTGTACTGTCCAGGACTGGATGGTTTGCGTCGTGAGGAAGCTATCGATCCTGGAGTAGGACCTGTGTGTGTGCGAGTAAAAGGTATAATTCTTGGCCGACGGATGGTGTGCCCTCCAGAAGTCTATAAGCGCCGTGCCCTTGAGGAATGCCGCATAAAGTTTGTCGTTTCTAGTCGCCGTCGGTGTTCTATCTTGCGGTGTCTTGCAGTCCGCAGCTGGAGATTGCGTCGCGTTAAAGTCGCCTCCAATTATAACGTGTTTGGTGGCTAGGCTGGTGACATGGGCTCGTAAGGATTCCTAGAACCCGGCTTCCGGAGCGTTAGGAGCATATGTTGAACAAACTTACAGTGTGGTGGCTCCCACCCGGCCCGGGAGGAAGAGAAATCGTCCCCCAGGGTCTTTTATGGTTTGTGTGTGGGTGTGGTGACCACCGGGAGGATGGGGAGCCGCCTGGGACAACTCGGCTGGCACGGGCGCGACAGCTCTCGGCGGAGGTTCCCTAGGGTAGTAAACTGGGCTTATCAATCTGGCCAGTTGACAGTCGGGCGGGGGACAACTTCCCCTGTCCGGGTATCCGTGTAGCGGTCCCGCAGGAGAAGAGTGAGTCACTGAGGGTGTTTGCGAGTCGTGGCGCAGCCTGCCCGAGGCTGCCCGACGACGAGCTATGCTGACTGAGCCGTGTGTGGGGTTGAGGGGCACGGAGGGGGAACGGGTCCCCGTGTCAAGGGACCTGGGTTCTGGGATGCCCCCCTAGTGGGGGCGAGTCCCCTTGTGGGTCCGGCAAGGAGCATCTAGTTGTGTTCTTTCAGTCTTAACCTTATTGCTGCTAGAAACTAGGTGAAACTCTAACGTAAATAAAAGCTGTAACTGAAATATTCTGCAACTATGCAGTCCTATTAGAAAAAGCGTATCTCACCCCAGCTAAGATTAGTCCGGGTCAGGAAGGTGCAGGTGATAAGGGTGGGTGTGGCTGTGTCACTGCCTCAGTCTTTTTCAAACCCTCCTATGTGTGCTTTATTCATGTCCGTAGGCCGCAAAGGGAGTGCCTCTGTGTGGTGCCTATGAGCGTCCTCTAGCAGACACAGTGTGCTTATCAGGTATGTGAACCGTCTCCCATCCAGTCCGCCCATAGCTGGGTGGCTTGTGGGTCGGAGTCCACCTTGCCTAAAGTCGCTGCTGGGTCAGTCGTCGTGAGGGCTTTAATGTCGCGGAACACTGCGATATTGGATGTGGCGATGGATAGGCCTTACTACAAGTCCGGAGTGTGGCATGTCTCGTGTTGGAGCGGGGGTGAGGGGGGTTGTGTCAGCCCCATAGGGTCTGCCCGGTGTGTGCCGTGGTGCCCCACCCCTCCCCATGTGTTGTGTCAACCAGTGGGCTTAGGGCTCATGTCTGTGCCCGGGGCCAGTAGTCACCCAGCCCCCCAGTAGTCACCCGCTCCCGTGGTTTGGGCCCAAGTTCTGCCCCTCTGTGCCGTTGCCCAGCAGGGCCGCGCCTCCCGGGTATATGTCTTAGCATGCGGATTCCCCGGAGGGGTGGTCTGGTGAGTGCCTCCGGACTCGGGCTCGGCCATCATCCCTGTAACGGATCACCTAGCACCCCGACTGGGCACCTCCGTTGAAAGATGCTCCTAGCGCTTCCAGAGGACTCCAAGCACTCCACCAGACACCATAAGAACCGCAGGCTGCAGCTATCTCCCTTCAGAACGAAGCAGGAACAAGCTCTTACAAGAGCTCAGTGATTATAGCAAGGGAATATGCCTAGCATAGCAATCCCTTGTAGCAGATTCCCCCAATAAGAGACAGGACTCAAGTTGAGGGTAAAAATAGAACTCTCTGGCTGCTAGCTTGCAGCCCTTTTTATTAGGTGCTCCCATGAAGGGGAGGGACACACACAGTAACGTACATTAACCAATCACACAATAGTTACATCCCACACATAGCCCTCCCCTCTACCTGTAAACTAATTATCTGTACACACAGGAAAATACAATTATCATAGGTAGGGAAAATACAGTTTTTACACAACATTCATAACTCCCAAAATATACATCACATTCGCATAAAAATACATATTCACAATCAATCCATTCAGGGGAACAACATATTAAAAAATGGCATGAATCAGACCAGGGGTTCAAAAGTTAGTAAAAGTATCTTTTGTTCCCCCTGGCTCAAACAGTAAAAGTAAAACATCCCCACAATGCATCCTGGCTTCCTCCCTTCTGCCCTGGAGATAATTGGAGAAGGAATCTAATTATCTCCAAAGACAGAGCCAAACTCCATTACCCACATGGCAGACAAAAAGACAGTAAAAGACAGTAAAAGACATAAAATTACATACTGACACATTTAGTACATAAAACACACATTTCTACATATCCCCAGATAGCTTGGATCTGACTGCAGATTATTAGATGAATGGCACTCAGATCACACGAATAAGCCTTTCTGCAGGGAAAATAAACAGTTTAACCTGCAGGGCCATAGTCCAAAGGCAAGAGGCGGGCAAGCAGCCCCCTCCAAGGACACGTGGCGAGGTCGGTTTTGCTTAACCGGTGGGCAGTCGGTTAAGTTGGGGTCAGCGTGCTCCCCGTGCCCCCGTCCGGTTCAGGAAAAAAAAAAAAGGGGGGGGGGGGGCTCGTGTGAACGCCTCTGTCCGTGAACTTGCAAGGCTTTGTCTACCCGGTCTGGTGGTGACATGTTGAGGACCCTAGGACCCGGTAGTCATGGGACTTGTGGGGATTCGTCTGGGCGCTAAGTGCCTGTGCCGTCCGTCCTTTGTGGGTCCTAGAGGGACTCGGTCTCCCACTAGTCGCCCCGTGGCTTCCCTGGGAGTCGCTCAGCGGTAACCGATTCCGGAATTCCCCTCACTCTAATGTTGTTGCGGCGTGTCCTGTTGTTGAGGTCCTCATTTGCGTCTTCTAAGACACACAGCTGGTCACGGAGGTCCTTCAATGCTCCCTCATGTGTGTGCACGTTGTCTTGCACCGCTGCCATATTGTCTTCCACTGCTTGCGCGCGGGCTGTGAGGTCCGCCATATTCTCCAGGATGGGGTTGAGGCGTTTATCCAGCTCCTCCGCTACCGAACTGCGAAAGTCCGCCAAGAATCCTCTCAAGTCCCTGCGGGTGAGAGGGGCCTCTGCTCTGTCTGTTGGTGCTTGGCTGCTCATTTCGGAGTCTGTGTCCGACGGGGATTAATCCGGCGCTGGCGGCAGGGCCTTGTTGTGCGTTCGCCGGAAAATTGGGGTGACTGAGGATTGTCGTTTTTTTTTACCCCCACCCATGGAGGGGGTGAGTGTGGGTGAGTGAGAGAGGGGTTTTAAGGGGTTAAAGGGGCTCAGGTGCTGATGATTGCTATGGATTCGGGCTAGGCCTCGGCAGAGCTCAGGATTTAAGCTGCCATACTCGTGCGAGGTCAGGCTCCACCACCTATCCTCCCAATTTTAAATCAGGTCCCTTAGAAGTTTTTGAAAAACTTGTTTTAAAAGATTTTAATAAAATTCAAAATCAAAAATCAGATTTAATTTAATCTCAACTATAAAGAAAGACAGGCCCTTAAGGAATTACAATCAGATGAAGAGATAATCATAAAATCAGCAGATAAGGGAGGAGGCCATGTTATCCTTTCAAAAGAAATGTACATAGAGGAAGCTTTCAGGCAATTAAACGATACAAATGTTTATGAAAAACTAACCAAAAACCCCAACCCTCAGATAAAAATTATACTAAACAATTATCTAACCAATGGAAGTAATCTTAATATTCTGAACAAACAAGAACACAATTATCTAAATAAAATGTATCCCAAGATTCCGGTTATTTTTTACCCAAAATACACAAAAATTAATCTTGTCCTCCGGGTCGTCCTATCGTTTCAGGAATTAACTCTATTTTATCTAATTTATCAGAATATATCGATATTTTACTCCAACCCTATGTAAAAAAATATGAAATCTTATTTAAAGGACTCTATGTCTCTTCTGC